ACATATGTGACAAAAATGTATAAAAAAAAAAAAAAATATATATATATATATATATATATATATATATATATATATATATATATATATATATATATATATATATATATACACAAAGGGAGAAAAAAAATAAACCCAAAAACAGAGCCAAGAGGTACCCCAAACAAACAAAAAAATCTCTTAAAAATGCTTAGTTATCGGGTAACAACCGAATTAAATTAGAATCAGAGCAAAACATTTGTTATTCAGAGAAATACTGGGTAAAGATATTTTGTAAGAGTAAAATGTTCAACAATTTTAAGAAAGTTTGAGTCCTTGGAAGAAACATAAGATATATTATGAATATAAAGGAATAATTGAATAATCTTTTTCAGAGTGCAGTGGATTCGAAAGAGAAATCTGTGCACCCTTTGCTATGATTGCTTTATTACAATATATTTGTGTTGCAGGTAATGGAGGAGAATCATCAGCAGAGCAGGATTTTTATGCTGGGTTGCGGGCCACTTCTGTAAGATCTCCCAACAGCCAGCAGTCCTCGCCTCACCGCTCCCTAAGTGGTTAGCTTTTGCATCACTTTAAATGATTTCAGTCTTATAATATGTATTGGTTTTTTTTATTATTTAAAGCATGTATTCAAGTTAATGCATTTTCCTTTACCTTTCATTCTACAAAAAAAAACAAACAAAAACAGACTCCATTAAGGTTGAGCTGTGTAGCGATGAAGAGTCTTCAGGTGCCCGACAGACTGAGAACAAAGAGGCTGCGAGGAGCGACGGCGGGAAAGATGACAAGGTGGGTCCCGCTGAAGAAGGAGGTCCAGCGTTTGCCGGAGCCGGAGGAGAGAGAGGGAACCTCTACAGTGAGATGGCTACTCCCAATTCGTCCTCACCGGGGCCAATCCGGCTGCCCAACGGGAAGCTGCAGTGCGAGGTGTGCGGGATGGTCTGCATAGGACCCAACGTGCTGATGGTCCACAAGCGCAGCCACACAGGTGAGACGAACCTTCGGCGACAGCGTTCACGACCAAGCGCCGCAGGCATTAACGCTTTGATAAATAAATTAATGTAGCCCAAACATCCACGCACATGTTTGCAGGCGAGCGACCTTTTCAGTGCAACCAGTGTGGAGCCTCCTTCACCCAGAAGGGCAACCTGCTGCGCCACATCAAACTTCATTCAGGAGAGAAGCCTTTCAAATGTCCCGTTTGCAACTACGCCTGTCGTCGGAGAGATGCTCTTGCTGGTCATCTGCGCACTCATTCAGGTAAATCAGTGAACTAGAATCAGCCTTCAGCTCATAAAAGCCTGTTAAAAAAGGGGCTTTCAGTGGGGTGCTGTGGTGGCGTAGGGGGCAAAGCACAACTTACATAAGGAGGCCTTAGTCCTCAACAAGGCTGTCACAGGTCTGAGTGGTGATGATCTTTGCTGCATATCCTCCCCCTCTCTCATTACTCACTTTCCGGTCTAAACACTCAAATAAAGGTCCAATAAAACCTTAAAAAAGGTCTTAATTTTTTTTTTTACTGTCCACAGAGTCAGTTAAGCAAAGTCTGGCTTCTTAAAACAGCGACATTCATTTGTATCCAGTCCACTTGGATCAAGGCTTCGTAGAACCATCTTTCGATGCAGTTAGAACCGATAGTTGTTTTTGACAATGACTCCACCTGCTTTTCATGTAGGGCCTCAAATCATGGACACATTGGATCAGTGGTCTTTGACCTAAATCTGCCTCTGTTTGTACGTTTTGGGTTGCTGTCCTGTTGGAAACTGGACATCTGGTCCTGTCTCAAATCTTAAGCAATTTCACATCGAGCCTGATTAGCCCGCCTGTCCCTGCTGAAGAAAACCATGAAGCTTTCGCCGGCATGTTTTAGGACCGAAGTTGTGTGAGTCAGCTGGTGTGCGGTATTACCTATTGCGAACAGCATCTTGACTTCTCGCTGCTTTCTTTCTGCCATAAAGCGCTGAGTTTGTGGCCTCAGTCCTGTTGTCCTGTAGTTGTCCTGTTGGCAGATACTTCTACGTGAGCTGGAAGCCTATTTTCTGTACCTGCATATTTGTCAGATTATTATTTATCAGATTAAAGAGAGATGAATCTGAACACTTTTCAGATTTTTTTACTTGTATAATGTTCCTTCCACTTTACAGTTCCTGTGCGCTCTTAGGCATTGAACTTAATTGATGTTGGTGTATAACCAAGTAAAAGAGTGCTAGAAGTGGGTACACTAACAAGACTGGTCCATTTCTCCTTTCTTTGAAACTCAAAGGAAGTAGGTCTTCATCACAATTTTCTGTAAAGAAAAAAAAAAAAAAAACGTGACATTTACAGATTTAAAAACAGGAAATCATGTGAGTGCGCTTTCAATTTTGAGAACATACGTGAAACAGCAGGTGTTCACATACAGTGTTGATGCAATAGTTCTGGCTGGATGTGATTGGGTTGCACAGGTTCATTTACAGAGAAACCATCGCTGCGAACTGGATTACAGTGAATTGACGTCAGCGCTTCCGATGGCTTACCAAACTGGAAGGTTGCGGTGAGGGGTTAGGCGGTTCTTTTACCGTCACTTTCGGGCTTCAGAAATCAATCTCAGGAATTTCTAATCGAAGGGAAAATCCAGTCTCATAAGCCAAGAAGATATTGGCGCTACTTCGTCAGTAAAAATCCCCTCCAGTAGACGCACAAAATCTCTAACTTTCTGTCATGAATAGTCTAAATTTTTATTGGTTTGTTACGTCTCTGGCTCCTCGACAAGCAATCGCTAAAATGTTTTCCCTCTGATTTTCAGTTTCTTCCCCGACAGTGGGAAAACCTTTCAAGTGCAGCTACTGTAGTCGCAGCTATAAGCAACAGAGCACACTGGAGGAACATCTGGAGCGCTGCCATAGTTACATGAAGACTCTGGACTCGCAGATGCCACCTGGTAACACGTCGCGCATAGAAGAAACCCAGGCCCTTCATGAATTAACATGTACTAGTTCATGTGTCAGTGTCATTAAGCTTGGGCTTCTCCCTGTGCAGGTGAAGAGTCTGTAAATATGGAGAGCATCACCAAACCCGTGCTGCAGCCGTCCAATGAGAAAAGGCCGTTTGTGGATAGACTGGCTGTCAGCATAACCAAACGAAAGAGGTCAACACCACAGAAGTTTTTGGGTGAGCTTGTTTTGACGCCGTAATACCTCGAATTTACCTCACCAGTCAAATGTTTGCATGCACTCATCAGCAGCAGGACAATATCATTTTGGACGTTTCATATTGCAGTTGACAGATGTGTCTCCTGAGGTGATATGATTATACAACCACCTCAATGCAATTTGGAAACAAGAGCTTGATTAATTGTGAGGAGGATTTTCTTTTTCAAAATATGGCGTCACAGGGTCAAGGATATTCACTCACCCCCAAATAATAACAACATGAAAGTAACAAAAACAAACTTCCAGCATAATTCTGACTAGATATTTGACCATTTGTCTTGGCAGAAATGGGAGATCTCCTTCAGATTGATTAGTTATCTGCGATAGATCCGGCTTTAATAGATAGATCATGTTTGTTCTTATGAATATGAGCTGAAAGACGTTCCAAAAGTCGATGTTAGCTTGCTTCATCTGCTCCAAAATCAGTTTTGGATCATCCTGTGGGAACAGGCAATTATTTTAGCCCTCAACCTGAAGTGAAACGGAGGAATATAGAGGTAGTCCTCCTGTATTATTTCATTCACTTTGTTGGATATGAGAGTATTTTTGAGAGGGGGAAAAGACCCTCAGCATTATTAGGTCATTGTTTGAAAACCAAAAATTGACTCCTCATACTTCCTCTTAGCCATAAATAACTTTTAGCTTAATCTTTTGTCTTATCTGGCGATGAAACTTTTCTCCATAAGAGATTTGGACCGTCCATCTAAGCAACTTTAAATTTCATTCAAGTTTTCAGGCGTTTATTTTGTAACTTCGTTCTCGGTCAGCAGTCTCTCAGTCCATGTCGATGTTAAATGTGCTTCAGTGTAAATGGCGACAGTGGTGTTGTAGCAGTCTCCAGATCAGATTATGCTGACCATAAACTGATCAGATTATGCTGATCATACCCAATCTTAACCAGTTTCCTTTCCACAAAGGTAACAGTTTGGGTTGGATGAGTGAAAAGTTTTGACACAGTTTGGTGTTAACTCTTAAGTGTGGCCTAAGAAGACTGGCCAATTATCCAGCCAGAGCCAAGACAGGACCCTGATAGCAACAGATGATAGCAACATAATGTTTGTGGCTTCTGTTACATATTAGCTATGCACAAAGAGACATTTGCTCTGTTTTCAACATGCAACGTTGTTCAATGTGCTGTACCTGATTAAATACATTTGAATCGAATGATTAAAAGAAGAACGTTTGCATCCCAGCATTAGAGTGCTGGGTGCAAGATGGTGACTTCATGTAAAATGACAAGAACCGCTGGGTTAAACCATCAAACATTATCACTCTGTGTGAAGTTCCACCCTAGACAGAATTTATTAATGCCACATTTCTTTTGCAGGAGAAAAGCACATGCACCTTGAACCACCAGAAGCACCTTATGAACTGTCCTCTGGCTCTGAAAAGGAAGGGGATCTCCTGAGCTCCCATTCTGCTGGAGACTCATCCGGTCTGGTTAGTTCACACCTCCACTTCGCAAGAAGTAAAGCCGAGAGCCAGGAGTCGCCCTCGCTGCATCCGCTCCATCCTGGCTTTGTGGCGGAGCTCCGAACCGTTGTGGGTTCCCTCAGCAGTGGCGTGGTTCCCCAGGGCCCCCGAGCCCACGGCGCGATCGGGCTCGCAGCGATGTCCCTCGGCCTCCCTGGGCGGGAGGCAGGCGAAGCCCGGGACGACCAGCCCTCGGCGCACAGCCACACCACCTCGCCCAACGGGTGCCCCGACTCTACGGACACAGAGAGCACAGCGGAAGAGCAGAGCACAAGGGCTACAGCCCCTACAAGTACCTCCAACAACCATCACCTCCACTATCTGACCCCAGCACTGCCCCGCAGCCACCCCACCATCAGCCCCAGCCAGGCCAAAGATTTGGACGCGGAGTGGGACAGAGGGGGTTCCGTTCTCCCGGGTGTTGTAAAGAGAAACCCCGGCTCGCCTCTCTCCTCCAGGAACAATTTCCAAGTTTTGGACAGTGGGGGCAGGCCTGTGCGCTCCTTCTACTGCCGGCACTGCTGCATCCTCTTCCTGGACCACGTCATGTACACGATCCACATGGGCTGCCACGGCTTCCGCCAGCCCTTCGAGTGCAACATCTGCGGGCATCCCAGCCAGGACCGCTATGAGTTTTCCTCTCACATCAGCCGTGGAGAGCACCAGGTGGGCTGAGGACAGGCGGTTGCACAAGGAGGGGTAGACAGCTATAATCTAAACGGGGGCTCATGTTTGTTCTGCACCAGATCAGCTATTTTAAATCCCTAGTTTAAGTCAAATAAATCCTGAGCTTGCTGTGGATTTATATCCTACATGCCACAGGTGAGCAAAAAACCCCCATCTTTTTAACGCATCAGTTAGATTAGCTTAGACAAATCGAATTGTGTAACTGATTGCACTCCCTTATCAAATCACATGGCAAACTACAGGTTTTGCCTCAGAAGTGCCTTCTTTGGGGATTTCCTCTGAACACACACACACACACACACACACACACACACACACACACTCACACACAACACAAACACACACCCACACTAAAAGAAACAGTGGAGAACTGGTGCTCAAGAAACCCGACTAGCTATCCTTTCCTCGGTGACTTTAGAAACGATCACGTCCAAGAGGTCATGTTCACATGCAGTTACTGAAAGCATTTTAAGCATTTATCAAAAAACAGGTTTTATTCAGTACGCACTGAGAGCTTTGCTTCGGCGGCTGAGGAGGGTGCTTTCTGTGTCAGGCGAGCTACATATGCACCGAGAGCTGTGTGCCTCTGAGTGTGGGACGAGCTTCTGACACACAGACGAAGCACAGACGTGGATTGCCTTAACTCCTACAGCGGTAACTGTTGTAGGAACACATATTGTTTACAGCACGGTTCAACAGTGTGCAAAAGCAGGCATGGGCCGGTACGAGGTTATCGCAGTGTCAGATCTTTACAAAAAAAAAAAAAGTAAATACTTTGCTTTGGTGACACCACTGTATTTCCAAGAATAATTTAGGAAAAATCGAATGAAATTATTTATTTTCTTTTAATCAGTGTTGGTTATTTTTGATGTTTTCTGCCTCTTGCTTTCCATAGAGCAGCACTGAACAACGGCAAGCTTACATTTGCTGGTTAATTGACAATGTTTCTGCAGGGTGTTTGAAAGTCAAAAAGTCAAAATATTTAGGCCTGAAAAAGTCTTAAAACTGTCCAAATGTCTTACATTGCATGTTTCTATGTGTTAAATTTATACTTGTTACATGTTTTTATGACATTTAGCAATTCATAAAAACGTGAAAAAAATCTGACCATGAAGACGTCTTGCTGCAGTGTCACATTATATTTCTATTTATTCTGATTCTCAACCCCACTTTGGCTCTTTAACTCTAATGACATGTCATTAGAGTTGATATTTTGCTTAATACTGAAATAGAGATGATTTATTATGATCACAGAGCCACATTGTTTTAGAGAAGACAATTGGTAGAATGTAGAAAATTACGTTTAGTCGTTGGTTGACGAAGCGGTATAAAAGTATAAAATGTACTTCAACATTTTATACCCGAGAAAACTTTGGTACAAAATGATCAAAACTGCAGTGGTATGAAACGGTGATGGGCTGAAAGGACCAGCAGCCTTAGTAATTATAAAAGACTTAATAGATGTGATGGGTGGAGGCCTGGTATTTTCCATCCCATTTCTTTCCCTGTTATTAACAATCGGAGTAAACTTTGTTGTCAACACTGGAAGGATGGAAGTGCCTTTTCCGAGCAAGATGACCTGCAGTGTGCAGAAATAGGTGGGGGGAGGGGATATCCCAGTGCTGCTCTATGATTTGTGCAAACAGAAAACGAACTCTGTGGTTTCTCCTGCATCTCATTGAAGTGACTTTAAACCATGAAAGCCGTTTGACAAAAGATAGATACGTCGACACCGACGCCCATGCCTACTGCAAAGCTAACTGTGTGGAACAGAGCCTCAGGATGAAGCTGATTCATTGAGAAAAATTAGGATGAAGTAGGCTTTTAGATTTCAAAAGTGAGCTTTAGGATACTGGTGCAGATCAGACCATGAGCTTCGTCGCTTATAAGAGCCGCGCTGAATGGACCCGGGGTGCTCTACCTCTCTGCAGGACTGCACTTTTTAGAATAGGTTCCCTGCTTACATATGAACGTCTTTACTGAAGCACTTCACTGCTTTACAGAGTTGTTACCTGTGATTGTTCTACTGCACTGATGAATTTAACAGTGACAATAGCCGACCGCCTGGTTTAGGTGGTGGAGTTCTTACTGGAGCCGGCCTTCTGCACCTTGGTTCGGTGGGGGGTTGAACCGTCGGCTCAGCTTAAACAATCTCCCTTTGTGGTTTTGCACTCGGCGGCCGCAGCTGAGATTTTAAACGAGTTCCATAATGTAAGTGATTTAAGAAATTATTTAAAGATGAATTATTAGCAAATCAGTTTGAGTCTCTTCTGTTATTCTCTCACTTGTGATTATCTACTTAGTGTCGTTTGTTTCTGCCTTGGTGTATTTAATCAGCTATATTCCAAATCTTATCCAGCATATTCCTCAAAGTTCATGAAATGTTACCTCCTGCTTCTTTATAGCACCCAAATACCTTATTGCTACAGTATGGTGAATGATTTGATGATGTTAATATCGGGAACATGAAAGAAACCAAACTCAGTATTCTTACTTATTATTGTTGGTTTGCTGCTTTATAGTTTAACCTGAGTTTCTCTACTAGCAAGCAAAATGTACTTGAAAACAGTTTTAAAAAATTATATATATATATATATATATATATATATATATATATATATATATATATATATATATATATATATATATATATATGAAATGCACTTGGGTTTGATATGTATGCGTGTGTGTGTTTGTGTGTGTGAGAATGGACTATAGCATGGGTGCTTGTCATTTTCTGCTTTTACCTGAATTGTGAATTATTTTTGAAATGTGAAGTGAAAACGAGGCATGGGTTTTTATTTGGTCCCCTCCTCGCGATGACTTAATGTTCTAAAAAATAAAAATAAAATAAAAACCCTTTGTGAATGATGTAAAATAACAAAAAACACTTTTACCTCAAAGTTCGAGATGTACAACTGCCTCATTAGTTCAGTAAAACTAGGGGGAAAAAAAGAATTAAAAAAAAAAGGTCATGTCGCTTTCCAAGATGTTTTTGCGGTGACAGATTGCGTGCTCCTTGATATTTTCAAAACTTTTTACTGTCAATAAAGTTGCATTTATTGTAAAAATTTATTCTGTCCAGCTTGACTGATTGCGTCCAACTCTGTGTGCTTAATCACCATAAGAATGATAAAGTTTGATGTTTCAGAAAAAATAATGTTTTATTAGCATTACATTATAAGGACTGCCAAAATTATACTTTTGGCAGATTTAGGGTATTTGAATTGAATTTATTTTTATTTAGACATTTCTGATAGTAAATGAGACAGAGATCCCTTAAAGGATGAACAATTTAAAAGGAGTGTCCATTTTGAGATTTTAATTAACATTTTATTTACAAAAAAAAGGCATGTGAAAAATTTCATACACTATCCTCAATAATTTGGGATGACTGTCACTATTACCTGATTTTAAAGCTCATCTAAGCAGTGGATGATCTACTCAAATGGTGCTGAGATATAATCACGTCAAGGGACAGCAGATAAAAAATTAGGGGACCACAAATGAGACCCTGTGGCACCCCACAAGACAGAAGAGCACTGGATAAAAATATACTGCTCAAAAAAATAAAGGGAACATTTCACTTTAATTTTGTGTGTGGCTCCAAATCCAGGCCTCCATTGATTAATAAATTTGATTTCCATTGATGATTTTTGTGTGATTTTGTTGTCGGCACATTCAACTTTGTACAGAACAAAGTATTCAATGAGAATATTTCATTCATTCAGATCTAGGATGTGTTATTTGAGTGTTCCCTTTATTTTTTTGAGCAGTGTACATTGCATTATTAGTCATAACCAAGAAGGACCCGTCCGTCACATAGCATGTGAACCGTTTGACCGCTAAGTGACAGATGTCAACATAGGCGGACTGAATTTTTTACAAAAATAAAATTATCTTCAAAAAATTATTAGTTGGGCGAAAACAAATTTCCCCTGTATAGCTTTCATTATTAATTATTTAAAACAAATGTTTCGAGGCTTACATCTTCACTTTGTACGCAGCACAGTCATGATTAAAAGAAAGCACCCCTTCTGTGTTTCAATGTTTTAAAGATCTTGTATTTACCAGAGTCAAAGATGATTTAAAACTAAAGACCACACACCACCTGTTTCACTGGGTTGTCATTTATTAAACAAAGAAAAGGGCAAAATGGAAACCTTACTGGATTTACAGTAATTTGATTATTAAACATCTCTTTAAATAAATGTTGCTGATTTAAAAAATCACATGAGCCAAAAAGAGAGAAATCGATTCAATACAAAATGTTAACCTAGAAACAACAGTATTTACTCTGTTTGTTCAGAGCATCTTTAGGATGAATAACTGCATCCATGTACAGCTTGGAGGCAAACAAGTTGTTGTTGATTTGATAGGAGGACATTGCAACAGTCCTACATAGCCCAGGTAAAATGCTTACAGTGTTGTGTCTGCAAGAACAATGAATGCTGTGGTTTTAACCATCGTGCTAGTCAATGGTTATGTGTGGTGGCCCTTGAAACACTGACGTAAACTTCACTCCACACTTTGCAATCTGCAGCCAACTTTAAAATGTGCTTTGTTTTACAATCCTCCCAAGGCTGTGGTTATCCCTGGTGCAGGTGCATCGTTTTTTTTTCGACCACATTTTTTCCTTCCGCTTAACTTTCCAATCATGTGCTTGGAAACAAGAGCCTGTGAGCAGCCTCTTTACAAAGCCATGACGTTTCATGGCTTACCCTCCTTGTTGAAGGAGTTGGTACTCTTCACCGCAAGTGTGTGGATGTTATGAAAACTTAATTATTTAAATTCAGATTTAGAAACCAAATTTGGAGATTTTTATTAGCAACTTCAAATATATCACTATGTAAGTAAAAGTAACATGTGTCACCTTTTGAACTTAACTTTTCGGGGGTTAGTCTAACATACTGAGGTACATCTGCCTGTACATTCACCTTCTCAAAATATGTCACAATAATCAACAGTTTGCTGCTGATGTACAGTCAGCATTTGTGTATGAAGTGAGATAATCTTAACTATCGACCAATTTCCAGTCAGTATTTTAAGCGTCGTCCGAAATAATATAATACAGAGCCTTTTTAAAGTGCTGCAACAGAAACTCCTCAGTTAATGGTCCGTAGTGAGTGTGAAAGTTCAGAGAATATAGTGAACAGCTTTTTTTTCAGTTCTTAGAAGCTTATCTGGAAAAAAAGGTGTTGGTGTTAGCAGTAAATAGGACGAATCCGAAACTTAACTGCTTCGAGCTTTTGTGACCTTTATGCCTGCATGACAGACTTTTGTTGTACCTTTTTCAGGTTAGTTCTGACCTTTTTGCAGCCTTTTACAGTGGAAAATCTGGTTTAGAAAATCCCACATAGGGATTCCAGCTGCACTTCAAGGTGTAGATATAATTAACCCAGACCTTTCATTCTCTTACATCAAAGGGTGT